TGGGGGTGGGGGGGGGACGGGGGCAGGAAGCTGGGACAGGCCAGGCTTCAGGGAGGGCTCAGTGCTGACGTGGGTCTCTGGGTGGAGTCGGGGAGGTGGCCGTGCAGGAGGGAACTGGCCCCAGAAAGGATCTACGACCAAGCATTCAATGTAGACAGATTCAAAGACATGGAAAGGAGAACGTATCACATGTGACGTCAATCAAAACCCAAACCCAACCCCAGCCAGTTTGGCTCAGTGGATAGAGCGTCACACTGCAGACGAAAGGGTCCTGGGTTCGATTCCCGTCAAGGGCACATACCTACGTTGCCGGCTCCCAGCCCTGGTTGGGGGCATGCGGGAGGCAACCAATCGGTGTTTCTCTCTGTCCCTCCCTCCCCCTTCACTCTCTCTAAAAATCAACGGAATAAAATATGCATGGGTGAGGGTTAAACAACAACAAAAACCCATATATGTTAAAAACAAACAGACAAACAAACAAAACCAAAACCCACCTCGATTTCCGGTCTCAGAGACCTGAGGTAACTCTTGAGGTCACCGCGGGGCATGAGCTCCATGATGACCAGGGTCGGCTGGCCCTGGGACACCACGCCCAGCAAACGCACCTGGGAGGGAGGGAGGGAGGGAGGGAGGGAGACAGAGAGGAGGACTCAGAGGACTCAGAGGAGCACCCACGTGGGGCGGGTGCGCCTCCACCGCCCGGATGCACGGGCCAACCCTCCACGTGCCAGGGGTGGGGAACCTTTTTCCTGCCAAGGGCCATCTGGGTATTTACATCATTCACGGCCACAGCCTGTCACACCCAGAGTGTAAGTGTGCACGGGTGTCTGGGGGCAGCAGTGAGGCGGTGAGGGGGGAGGGGGCTCTGGACACCGGAGGGGGGCGAGTTGCCAAATCCACAGGCGTGGCCTCTCTTGCCGTGGTCCTCCCCGTGCCGGGATTCGCCGGCTCTTACCACGTGGTGACAGTTGAACTCCTTCATCACCGAAGCCTCGTTGAGGAACTCGATCCGCTCCCGCATGCTGGCCGACTCGTTGACGGTCTTGATGGCCACCCGGGTTTCCGGCTCGTCCTTGACCACGCCCTTGGCCACGCCCTCGTACACCATGCCGAAGGAGCCCTGGCCCAGCTCCCGGTTCATGGTGATCTTCTCCCGGGCCACCTCCCACTCGTCGGGCACGTACACTGCGGAGGGAGAAAAGGGAGCTGAAGGGGGTGTAGCCACGGGCACCTGCCTGGGCAGCACGTGATTTGGGGGGGACCTCTGGGGAGAAGAATGCACCATGCCGCTTCCGGAAGCCAGCCTAGGAGGACATGGGGGGCAGCGACTGGGCTTGTCCCGCAATGTCCCAGGTGCTGTGGATTCCAGGAGGCAACCGTGCCCTCAAATTCTGGCATTTCAAATCCTCAAGGAGCCCCAGAAAATTCGAGGATACTAACAGCACATAAGAAGAACTCCGGGTGCGGAATGGAGGTGGTTGGGGGGTGTCAATGGGAAAAAAAACACACCCAAAAAACCAAAGGGGACATCGGTCATACTTTCCACAATAAAGATACGTTTAAAAAATAATGAAAAATAAGACCCAGAAAGCAGTCCACCTGGAGACATGCTGTAAGTCTAAGATTCACCCTGGATTTCAAAGACAAAGGGCAAGAAAGAATGTGAAGGTTTCATGGGCTGATGCGCAACCACTGAACCACACCGGCTGGGCAGTGCGGGCTTTTTGAGATACTCGGCGAACTGCTAAGAACTTTGATTTTTTTTTTATATAAAGAAGTGTTACCGAAGACGGAGTACCTCCAAATCATGCAGACCTCTTCCTCCCCTAGGTGAGCCACCCTCCCGCAAGCGGCCGGACCGGCGCCCCCACGCAGGGAGCTGAGCTTACCGTCGGCCGCGCTGAAATACTCCGGGTTCACAGACGCGTACAGCACTCCATTGCCCATCCGATTACTGCGCCAGCCAAAAGGGGGACACGTTAGGCAAAGAAAAAACCCCATCCATCCCCACGCATTTCTGTAGAGGCTCGCATCTCTGTTGTCGCCATTTTATTCATTCTATTTCATTCGGCTCCCGGAGAAAGAGTGAGCGGAGCTTGGAGCCCTCATATGAGAGCCTTTTTTACTTATTTCTTTTGTTAATCCTCACGCGAGGATATTTTTCCATTGATTTTGTTTTTCTTGAGGGAGTGGAAGGGAGGGGGAGAGACTGAGAGAGAGAAACATCGATGTGAGAGAGACACATGGATTGGTTGCCTCCTGGGATCGAGCCTGCAACTCAGGTACATGCCCTTGACAGGAATCGAACCCGGGATCCATCAGTCCCTGAGCTGATGCTCTATCCACTGAGCCAAACCGGCTAGGGCAGATTAGAGCCTTTATTGATTAATTTTTAAGATATATTTTTATTAATTTCAAAGAGGAAGGGAGAGGGAGAGAGAGAGAGAAATATCCATGATGAGAGAGAATCATGGATCGGCTGCCTCCTGCACGCCCCCTACTGGGGATCGAGCCCACAATGCGGGCATGTGTTCTGACCCGGACTCAAACCGTGACCTCCTGGTTCATAGGTCAATGCTCAAACTCTGAGCCAGACTAGAGTTTTGAAAGAAACATTCATCTCTGAACTTCATTGGAAATGAACCGAAAGGGTTACTGGATCGACAGGGCTAACAGATCAGGCTTGGGGAAGCTTAGCAGGGCAGCAGTGTCTGTGTGATTGAGTGGCCAGTGAGGGGATGACGTCACCATCAGAAAAATGGTGTTGCTTTTGAATCATTAGAAAACATTCTCACCCTGGCCGGTTTGGCTCAGTGGACAGAGCGTCGGCCCCCCAACCGAAGGCACGTACCTGGGTTGCAAACCTGATCCTGGCCCGGGTCGGGGCATGTGCAGGAGGCAACCCATTAACGTGTCTCTCTCGCATCAATGTTCCTCTCTCTCTCTCCTCCCCGCCCCCCCCATCCACTGTCCCTAAGAATCAATGGAAAAATATCCTCGAATGAAGACTCACCAAAAACAAACAAACAAACAAACAAATAAAACATTCTCTGTTCCCAGGAAGCACATCGGATTGGAAAACCAGCTTTTCCGAGCCCTAAACTGTTCCCTCAAAAAGTTGACCTTGACTCACACCCCGTCGGCCCCGAGCACCCGACACCCACCTGGGCGTCTTCTCCCCGAGCCACTCACCGCTTCCGGTGGATGACGTACAGCGTGAGGGCCAGCCCCAAGACGGCCCCAACCGAAGGCACGTACCTGGGTTGCAAACCTGATCCTGGCCCGGGTCGGGGCATGTGCAGGAGGCAACCCATTAACGTGTCTCTCTCGCATCAATGTTCCTCTCTCTCCCCGCCGCCCCCCCATCCACTGTCCCTAAGAATCAATGGAAAAATATCGAGTGAAGATTCACCAAAAATAAATAAACAAACAAATAAAACATTCTCTGTTCCCAGGAAGCACATCGGATTGGAAAACCAGCTTTTCCGAGCCCTAAACTGTTCCCTCAAAAAGTTGACCTTGACTCACACCCCGTCGGCCCCGAGCACCCGACACCCACCTGGGCGTCTTCTCCCCGAGCCACTCACCGCTTCCGGTGGATGACGTACAGCGTGAGGGCCAGCCCCAAGACGGTCAGCACGATGGCGATGGGCAGCGCGATGACCAGGTGGGCGTGGCTGTCGTACGCCGCTGCGGGAGCGCAAGGGGCAAGGGTCAAAGGTCACGAGGTGAACAGGCTACTCGTTTCATTTCATTCATTCATTCATTCATTCACTCATTCATTTTTTTGTTAATCCTCATCTGAGGATATTTTTCCATTGATTTTTAGAGAGAGAGGGAAAGGCAGACAGAAACATCAATGATGAGAGAGAGTCAAGGTTCAGCTGCCTCCCGCACGACCCCTACCGGGGATGGAGCCCACAGCCTGGGCATGTGCTCTGACCAGGAATCGAACGGAGACCTCCTGGGTCAAAGGTCAATGCTCAACCACTGAGCCACGCCCGCCGGGGCCCGTTTTTCTTTTTAAAGTACAGGGTACTCTGCCATCATAGTTCACACGATGGGCTCCAGCAAAATAGCCTTTGTCTGCAGCTTAACGACTATAAAGGGAAATGCATGCATTTGCTGAAATAAAATGCAGAGAGATTCTTACTTATCCAGTGCTCGAGTCGTACTGGCCTTCTTATCTGTCTGAAGACAGTGCCACAGACAATTAAAACACATGCACACACATAGCCCGGCCGGTGTGGCTCAGTGGTTGAGTGTTGACTTAGGAGCCAGGAGGTCACAGTTCGATTCCCGGTCAGGGCACATGCCTGGGTTGCGGGCTCCATCCCCAGTAGGGGGCGTGCAAGAGGCAGCCGATCCATGATTCTCTCTCATCAT